CTTTCTCTGCCTTGTTTTTCTTTATATAGCACTTAAAACTATCATTATATTATGTTATTTATTGTCCATCTTCCTCATCAGAATGTAAATTCCAGTAAGGCAGAATATTTGCTGGTTTGGTCATTGCTGTGTCTCTAGCACACAGTGGGAACTCTAAAATTGTCGAATAAGTGCATGTGTGCATGCCAGAGATCATTACATTTTATTCAGTGTCTTGTATTAGCTCGTTTCATAAGACTGCACTTCCTCTGAGGCTCTTCTCTCCCCCTTGTTCTGCCGTATTTTTCATATGTCCCATTTTGATTATGTTCTTGTTCGTTTTAATCAGGCAAATCTGTTTGCACTCCGTTATCTCTGTGTGCAGTGATAACAAAGAAGCAAGGGGCTTGTCCTTGGGGCTGCTCTCTGTCTTCCCTTTAGTCTGTCTCCTCTCTCAGACCCACAGCTGGCCTACAGGTGCTTGTGTACCACTGCCAGTCTAATCTTTCATCCTAGGAGGTTTTCACCCAGTGCGTTTCTACCCTACTGTGTGTAGGAGCTTCTTCCCTTCCTTCCAAGGCCTGAGTCTTTGGTAGTTAGGGCTAATGTGTGCCTGACAAATAACAAACTCGACATTTCTTTTTTTTTTGGGGGGGGGAGGAGGACTAGCACTGAGCTAACATCTGATGCCAGTCCTCCCCTTTTTTCTTGAGGAGGATTGGCCCTCAGCTAACATCCGTGCCCATCTTCCTCTGCTTTATATGGGACGCTGCCACAGCATAGCTTGACAAGCGGTGCATTGGTGTGCGCCTGGGACCCAAACCTGCGAACCCCGAGCTGCTGCAGCGGAGTGCTCACACTCAACTGCTTGCACCACCGGGCCGGCCCCCAAACTCGACATTTCTGAGCATTGCAGTTCCCATTCTGCCTTCCTAGTTGTTTTGTTGTGGCTGCTGTAGGATTCCAAAAAGGAAATCCAACTCCAGTCTCGGGAAGGCGCGGACCCACAGACACAGGAGACCGAGCTTGATGCAAATGCACGAGGTTTTATTAAGCGGAGCTCCGGGTCGACACGTATCTCTCGCAGGAGACAGAGGGGTCGACCCCGAACCTTAAGGGGCAAGCTCTTTTATAGGATTCGGAAGCATAAAGCGGGAAAAGGTTGGCGCGGTCTTACATGATTGGCTAATTTAAAACATTTAAACAGTTACATTTTATGGCGCGAATTGCTATGGCGCGAAGCAATTATCAGGTTACACACACGCGTCCCCATCTGGACCCCCTCCACCCCGACCCTCCCAAACTTATCCCTCTGGAGCACTCTCTTGTTCTCAATTTTCCCCGAACAGTTTAGGGCGAGTCTTCTATGAATAGAGTCAGTCAGGATCGATAAACGTTCCCCCTTATACCAGGAATCCTTAGGGTGTGGAGGTGCCTGTCTCTAAGGTATTAACTTTTAAATTTTTAATATAATTTACTTCCTTCACTGCTATTGCTGTTGCTGTTGTTTTAATAATTTTTATTTACCGCATTTGGAAAAGGAAGTTGGAGGGTGGGGAATTGGTCAGTGCTCTGCCTGCCTCAGGGAGCAGCACACGAGGAGGGTGGATGAGTGGGTGCCCCACTTCTCTGTTGGTTCTAGGCCACGTTATTGCTCCAGGAGCTCCACATCTGGCAACAGAGGCAGTGAAGGGACTGTGCATTTTCCTGTCTTTTGTCAGGTGATTCTTTTTCGTGAAACTGGAGTTTACTATGTCTCTGTGTAGTCTGTTTTTGTTTTGTTTGCTTAAATCAGATCCAAATGTGTTATAATTAATTTTCATTTCTGCCTGACCCTGACTCAAGGCATAATGAGTTTGTCATGTTTTGCTGGGTTATCCTTTGTGAGGCTGCATTAAGGCATGGCAGCCAGATACCATGTTGAATGAGACCTCATGCACTGCTGTTTTCTAAGTAAATGTAGAAACTCTTATGATTAGGAAAATTCAGGTTCACTAAAAATGCTACTGAATTAGAAGTAGCTTTTTGTCATCACCTAGTTTTAAAGTCAATTAATATTGAAATTACAGCTACTATTTCATGGTGGCCCCCAATATATTTAATGATTTTTTAAAAAAAAATATTAAAACAAGGTCTGATAATACAAATGGTTTATAATCATTCGTCCATAGCATCGTGCCAAAAACCTTATCCTATGGGAAATCATTTAGTTTACTGTCATGCAAAACCATTTTTCCCATCTTTTTTTTCTGGTGAGGAAGATCAGCCCTGAGCTAACATCTGTTGCCAGTCTTCCTCTTTGTTGCTGAGGAAGATTAGCCCTGAGCTAACATCTGTGCCCATCTTCTTCCATTTTGTACGTGGGACGCTGCCACAGCATGGCTTGATGAGTGGTGCATAGGTCCGTGCCCGGGATCTGAACCTGCAAACCCCGGGCCGCCAAAGTGGAGCATGGGAACTTAACCACTAGGCCACTGGGCTGGCCCCATTTTTCCTGTCTTTTAACTATTAGTTTAAGTAATAATTCTGTATTGGAGGAGGGTGGTATTTCAGAAAACATAAAGAAGTATGATGGAAAAACAACCTCAATTATTCTGAAGGAAGTCTGAAGGATAAAATAATAGCTACCTTGTTTTAGTTACTCTTATATGTTATCTGAGAAAAAGTTCATTAAAACACATTTTGACACTTTTTATCCACTGGAACTTGAACTTCATTGGGAAAATGGTTCTGAGGGTGGTGAGAATGTTGACTAATGGGCGTGTTCATCACACATGGGATTACACCACTTTTTGAATCAGAATTTCCTGCTATTGCAACATATTTTTTTCTTTATTCTTTTTTTTTTTTCCTTAGAAACAATCCATTTGGGTTCGTTATGTCGCCATTTGTTAGTCTGGGGCATTGTATTTGTTTGTGACTACAAGGGAGTCATAGTAGGCTGAGTCTGTCTGTGTATACAGAATCAATGGGAGATCCTGCAGCTGCTCAGGGAAGCAGGCAGTGCAAGGGGTCACCTTGATATTTCAAACCCAAAATCCTGCTTTCCCAAAGACATGCAGTACTTTCATTTTAATCATCAAGAAGATTTATTCAACTTTGGTTTGCTTACTACATGCTGTACATAGACGTCAATCTGTTGTATTCTTTTTTAAACTTTTTATCGAAGTGTAATATTCTCAGAGAAAGTGCACAAACTCTAAGTGTATAACAAGATGAACTTCTACAAACTGAGCACACCTGTGTAACCAGTACCCAAATCAGGAAACAGAACATGACCAGCACCTCAGAAGCTCTCTTTGTGGCCCCTTCTGGTCACTAACCCTCCTCACCATGGGAAACCACTCTCCTGTTTTGCTCGTTTTTATATTTTATATAAATGGAATTATACCCAATGTATTATTTTGTGTCTGGCTTCTTTCATTCTTCATTATATTTATGAGATTTACATTTATCATGTACTGTGTTTGTTGATTCTTAACTGCTGTGCAGTGTTCCATTGATCAATATAACATAATTTATTTGTTCTTCTGTTGACAGGCATGTGAATGGTTTCCTTTTTTGGGGTGGGATGGGGGCTATTATGAATACTCAATGAACATTCTGGTACATCTCTTTTGGTGAAAGAGATACATATACAAACACATTCCTGTTGTATATACAGCTAGGAGTGGGATTGCTGGGTCATAGGGTGTGCATTTGTTCAGATTTAGTAGATAAGCAAGTTTTCCAGAGTGGTTGTAAATACTATACTCACACCAGCAATGTATGAGAGTTCCAGTTACTACACCTCCTCACCAATATTTGGCATTTTCTGCCTTTTTCATTTTAGCCATTCCAGTGGGTATGTGTTGAATGTGGTTAATTTATATTTCCTTGATGATAATGAACCTGAGCATCTTTTAATAAGATTATTAGTAATTTGTGTATCTATTTTTGTGAATTGTCTGTTCAGTTGACTGTTTTGCTCATTTTTCTGTCAATTGACTCTCTTTTTTGTTACTCTTTTGTAGGAATTCTTTACATAATCTGGATATGGGTCTTTTGTTGCATATATGTATTATAAATATTTTCTCTTCCTCTATGGGTTGATTTTTTACTCTTGTAATGGGGTCTTTTGATATACAAATATTCAAAAAGTCCAGTTTATTTTTTTTCTTTTATGGTTTGCCCTTTTTGTGTCCAGTTTAAGAAATCTTTGCCTACTCCAAGTTGACAGAGCTGTTCTATGCTTTCCTCTAACATCTTTATTTAGATTTAAAATTCATCCAATTTGATATTCATACATTGTATGATATAGAGATCAAGATACAGTTTTTCCAAGATACATTTTTCCATATCCTATTAATCTAGTATCATTTTACTTGGTTTTTAGCTTGTTTAAAATGTGTCCATAAAATTTGGTTCTATTGAAATATTTTTTATATTTTCCTGGAAAGAATTACTAATGATTCTTGAAAAAAAATTAAGCCTATGGTGATTTAAAATTTATAATACAATCTACAGATTTATTTAACACTAATGTAAATTGAAATCTTTCAATATCAGAAAGATTTATAGTGCACAAATCATAATCATTTTTTTAAAAAATAAATAACTGTTCTCATTTTTTCATTTGAATTCAATTCAACACATGTTTATTATGTGTCTGCTAGAATTTGGGACAGTTGAGAATGTGGTTGAAGTTTTGAGCTCCATTTTTATGTCATTTAGGTTTTAAGCCATATAATAAAGTTATCAAACATCTGTCAGTAATAAACCATCTTTCTTTAGTATTCAAAATTATATTAATATAGAGAAGTATGAGGTGAGAACTTTTACTACTGTTAGGATGACTTTACACCTCTTGTTTAATGCCTCTATTCTAAGTTTCTACTAGGAATTACACAGATCTTTTAAAACATAGAAATAGAAAAGAAAATGTAAAAGTATCATTTCTGTATTTGGAATGCCTGTGAATGCTTCCTCTTTGATGTAATTTCTGCTTTTGTTTTGTTTTGTTTTTTTGTTATTTTTTCTAGGTTGTACTGGTCAGTGGACATCTGGACAGCTGGGATGTTGGGCAGGGTGCCATGGATGATGGTGGTGGAGCCTTTATTTCATGGGAAGCACTCTCGCTTGTTAAAGATCTTGGTAAATATTTAGAAAGTTGTTAATCAATGTGTGAGGGTCTCAGTAGTGACATGTTTAACTCGACACACAAAATACTCAACAGATTAGTTAATGTGATATGTTCAAAGATCCCCCTGAGGTCTGTATGTTTTTTTGTCAGTTGATTCCCAGAAAAGAACTAATTTGTCTCCTTAAAGAAAAAAATTTTTATTCAAGTGTAGACCAGACATCCAAAGTATCAAATATGATCAGCCACTGGGGAAAATGAACAAGCAAATAAAACTAGCAAATGCAACCACATCAGCTAGAGACTGTGGAAGGAAACCATGACCAAGTGCAAAGAAAAACTGGCAGCCCCGCCTGCTCCCTTTTCTTGTTCATCTTAAAGACATCATCAGGCTGTTAGGATGGCTTTTCTGCAGTAGTCTTTGCATGAGAGAAGTCAAAGAGAGCAACATAGGACTGAAGGAATGATTCCTTTAGTCACAATAAAGAATCCAGGCTGAAAAATTGGACCTTCCAGGTAAACCTAGCTGTGGGAAAGATCGACAGGCATAAAAAGGAAGGGCTAATAGTGAAAGCAGTTTATTTTGATGACCCTATTTGCAGACAGAAGACATGTATTTCTTCTTTGTGTGCTGGTCAAAAAGGTGGATTTTGAGTGAGGTTAGAAATAATGAAACAGTCTGAATTCCATGTCTGAATCAAATCAGTGGTGGTTTTAAAATGCCTCATCAGCAGAATGTTTTATATCCTAACTGCGGAGTAACCTCAGTTTCAGACATAGTAAAGATCAGAACAGTCCCTTTGGTAAAGGCTTTCCCTTGCTGACTTATGTACATATGTGTTTAAATTCATGTTTTTCCTCCAGCCTTTAATGAGCCCTCTAATCTTGTAAATCGGCCCGTTAAATAATTGTTCATTTTAACAGTAGTTTGCTGGAATTGTCTTGCTTGGGGCAAATCTTTGGTGTACCATTTTGAGTTATGCCTTACTTGTGTTTTAAAAATGGAAAAATGGAAAGGTGGTTGTGCATTTTTTTACTTCTAAATAGGACAGTGTTAAGCAGCCTTGGCACTGTATTTGGGGCCAGATAATTCTTTGTTGTGGGGTCTGTCCCATGCATTGTAGGATGTTTAGCAGCATCCCTGGCCTCTACCTACTAGATGCCTGTGGCACCATCCTCCCTCAAGTTGTGACAACCAAAAATGTCTCTAGACATTGCCAAATGTCCCCTGGCAGTTGGGGGGAGGGGGGCACATAAAATTTCCCCACTGAAATAAACAAATAAAAAATCTCTAGGAAACCTGAATACAGAGTCATTTATTTTTGAAAGAAAACAAACTAATTAGAAAACTTACATTGTAGATACTTAGGCTTTTAACATCATTATCATACTGAGTACCTACTATGTAAAAGCACTTTGTAAAATCTGGGCATACAGGGAGGTTTAAAGCATGTCCTCTGTTCTTAAGACCCTTACAATAGGGTTGGAGACATACACATGCACCTACACACATAGTTATCAAACTAGACATAAATTCAGGGCCTACCTTTAGAATTGGGTAAGGTTTAAGAGATTGTCCAGCAAATAAAACCAAAAAACACACAGTCTTTCAGAGAAGATCTGGGAGACTCTGTATGTGAATTCTCCCCTCCTCCCCTTCCCTTAAAAATATTCCCTTGGCTATCTGTTCTCTCTGTCCTTAACTTTATTCCAGGATGAAGTGGGTTCTAGAGATGAAGCAGGCAGATAGCAAACACTTTCCTCTTTATTGGGCACATATATTTATTTTGGAAGTTAATTTTATTTTAGTGTGTTCAACCAGCTTGACTGGAAGCAGAGTGGTAGAGTGAGAAAAGAACTAGACCCATCTGAATTGGATTTTAGGTCACTCTGTGTCGCAAACTCCTTTTTTGGCCTTGGGCAGGTCATTTGAACTCTCTGGGCTTCGTTTTCTTTGTCTGTATTCAACTATAAGCTTCCAGAGTATTTTATCTGCTCTAGATTGGAGTAAAAATTGCATCTTCTCTAGGCTTTAAATCTTGCTTCTTTAGTACTCAGCATGGGACCCTAAATCACTGTTAATTGAGTTGAATTCAATTGCATAGATAAATGTCAAACAGCAAGCAAAGGTGAATTGAGTATTTTTTTTCCAGGTCCAAAAGTACACTGACTTCAGTTGCTTTGATAGCTAAATCAGTCTCCTTCAATTCAGGATTTAACTCTCCTATATATTTCTGAAAACCTATGTAAACATGTGACTAAAACTCTAAAATGAAGAGTAATATTTCTTTTGAGTAGGTGTTAAGAGGCAGCATGGCATACTATTAAAAAAGCACCAGACTCTGGAGCCAGACTGCCTGGGTTCAAATCCAGCTCTGCAATATACTGGCTACATGGCCTTAAGCAAGTTACTTTTTCTTTCTGTGCCTCGGTTTTCTCATCTGTGAAATGGGGATAATAATAGTTCCTATCTCATAGGGTTGCTTTGAAAATTAAATAATCTATTCACATAATGTACTTAGAACACTGCCTGATAAGTACTCAATGTTAACTTTTATTATTTAATAAGCATGACTCTGACAGTACCCCATTTTTTTATGTAAGGGAGGATGATAATTTTTTTATCCCCACCCCCATTAGGGATTACTTTGCCTCCTAACTTAATATGTTAGTTATACTGATGTAACTCTAGGGCCAGCTGCTATGGTATCCTTCCATATCCTTTCCTTTTACTATTTAAGTCGCCATCCCTTACATGATGGAGATCCACTAACCCCTTCACTTTTTTCCACTTTCATACTAAATTTTCAGGAGTCTAAATTTCTCCTGTCATTTCCTGCTTCCATTTCTTGCTTAGGTTGAATGCCCAGTCTCCACTCTGCACCTCCCTTCCTATGATTGCACCCATTGAGTCTTACTCTTTAATTTTAAAATTAAAATTAGATTGCAGATTTCTATTTGTAGATTGCCTATGTGTTTTAATATGAAGAACTGGGTCCAACATGTGACATATGAGTTATAGATGAAAATTACTGATATACTTGAACAAGAAATAGGACTTTGGGCTAGAGGCCAAGAAATGGGTTCATAATTATATTACTTAATTACATTGAGCCCAAACTGTTTAATTGGTGAAATATGAAAGCTCTGTGGCAATTTCCTTTTCCAAGAAAAGTGAGACTCCTTTTGGCTGCTGTTCCTTGAACGATATGTCATGCAGCATGCATGCATGTCAAAGTCCCTCAGCGGGGCTTGTTAATTTGAAGCGTTGGTCCAGTGGGGCTTTCTGGTATTTAGGAATATTGTTCTAAGATTCACCCTTCTTGTCTTTTCTCCTTTGTTCTCTTCTTTCACCACTCTTAAAGATTCACTCTTTTTGCCCAAACCATCTGCTAAAACTATATTCAATTAATCTAACAGAAGAGATATTTGTGCTTTGCAAATATAATCAGTCATTCTTGAGTAACTGTCAACAGAAGGCTATTTGCTGTGAAATGCTATTGAATACTTTTTTGTGTTTGTGGTTTACTGAACTTGAAACTGTTTATTTGAAACGTCATTTCCTGGAATGTTCTAGTGTCAGTGGACACAGCCTATGGCCAAGGATGTTATGCTTCAAAATGTTCATTTGGCACTTGAAAAATAAACCACCATCCATCGCGAAATTCTTCCAACTTTACCATTTTCTGTGAAGTTAGAATTTTGAGTTTTCAGGCCTAAACAAAGGAAAAAAACTGGAATTAACAGTACTACCTGGTTGTTGAAATGTGGAATATATATGAAACATCTTTCTACAGAAATTTAAATATGAGCATCCTGATTGTGATTATTATAGAGCTTGGAAGTCAATATATTAGAAAAATATTTTATTTATATTTTCCTTCATTCATTCACTTGACAAATATTTACTGTGCGCTGACTGCATGTCAGTGTGCCAGATGCCTTGTACCAAAGAGGCACGAGACATGGTTCTTGAAGTCCTTGACATGGGAGAGACATTTAAGTCAAACATTACAATGAAATAGTTATAAAGTCCTTAATTGAAGTGTATACAAGTTACTTTGGGCACCTGGTGAAGGGAGGGAAAACCATGGCTTGGCTGGGTCGGGGCACCTTCACAAAGGTGAAATTTGAGCTTTCTTGATAAAGATAGAAATTTCTGAAGCGAACAGGGCACAATGAAGAATTCCCAGCAGAGCATAGAGCTTCCAGTCCTGCACATCATTAAAAACAAGGAGAAAATTGTTGACAGTAACAGTCTTGGGATTGTTGGGGAGAGCATTTGCAGAATTGCAGGAGATGTTCACTCTTTACCTGATATATTTATGAAACATTAGATGTTTTAATAATAAGTATGTGTACTTTAGTAATCAAGAAAAAAATCCTCAAAAACAAAAAAAAAAGAAAAGAAAGATTCTTGATATTGCCATTACCATAAACACTCTGTGAACAGGTGCAACAGGGCAGAGGCAGGAAGCAGGAAGAGTCAGGCAGGAGTCACTAAGCCTTCCCGGCCCAGAGTACAGCAGGGAACACAGCCAAGTGCGTGCTAATGCTTTGGTGTAGCTCGAGCTTTATGCAGTCATTCCTAATGCAGGGGGTTCTCTCTTAGAGGTGGTGATCCATCCGGGAAGAGGATTTCCTTCTCCCAGGCCCTGGTCAAGCCTCCCTTGGAAAAGTCCCAGGAAGTCCAATCCAGAATAACTGAGTGGGGGAAATGAACAGCTTCCAATGAAGTGGAAACCCAAAGGGTAGAGCTAGAGACAGCTAAAGCCCTGAAGCAACTTGGGACTAGCCCAGACCTAGAAAGGAGATCCCACTTAGAAAGGACCTCCTCCTGGGCTTAGCCGTACCTCTGGGTATAAAAACAGCTCTAAAAGCTAACATTCACTGAATATTGCTATGTTGCAGACATTGTGTTAAGCACTCCGCTATGTACATGCTTTCTTTTCTTCCATACAATAAGCCCAAGCAGTAGATACTCTTGTTATATTCATTTTACAGAAGTGGAAAC